ATACATACATACATACATACATACATACATACATACATACATACATAATTAACTTGTTGGTTAACTGTAGACTGGTGTGCTTCGGACTAACTGTGTGGACTGTCTGGATCGGACCAATACAGCCCAGTTCATGGTGGGAAAGTGTGCACTGGCCTATCAGCTTTACGCCCTTGGAATGATTGACAAGCCAAAGCTACAGTTTGATACTGACTGTGTGAGGTAAAGCTTGAATACTCTGCTACCAATCACTAAGTATTCATTAGGAAGAGGGGATCAACAATGACAAAAAAAAGAACCTTTCCAGTAAAAATTACCTTATTTTTTCGACAAAAAGCTCTCATGAAAAAAGCTTTTAATTAATGCTTAATCCAAAACTGATTGTGATCTAAGGCCCAATTTTCATTACTAAATTACTTATTCACCAAATTAGAAATAATAATTCCTAGGATAACCATTGCTAACCAAATTATTTTAATAACAACTCAAAACAAAACAAGATCCAGTTCACAATGGTTTTCTTATGTGAGGCTTTATCTGTGTCTCAGGTTGTTTGAGGAGCTGTACGAGGACCATGGAGACACTCTATCCCTGCAGTACGGTGGCTCTCAGCTGGTCCACAGGGTGAAGACCTACCGCAAGATCGCACCCTGGACACAGCACTCTAAAGATATCATGCAGACTCTGTCACGGTACTACAGCAATGCTTTCTCAGGTGTGTGTTTCACATTCACACATGATTACTTAATCATTTTCCCTCTGATTAGTCCATATTGAGATTACCAGATGGAATTCCCTCTCATGTTACAGGCTACCTTAGAAACTTGGGCTCATTTTTTGTATATGCAAACACTGTACTCTATACACTGTACTGTACTGTACAGTACAGTGTACTGCACTGTACAGTGTGTTTCACAAACAGTTTGCATTCGAAAACATCAATTTAGTCATAAAAAAAAACAAAATTCAAGATATCACTAGTGTGAATATAATGAGGAGTTAAAGACATGGTCATCCGTAGATCATCCTCCTCATCCCAAAGCTCTGATGCACACATTTCTCACAGAAGAATATATTGCTGTAGATAACTTAATTTAACCATGAATAACAGAGAAATGAAGGAAAACCAGCTTTTGCTGTGTGTTTTCACCTTTGTGGCTGTGAACTGAAACCAATTTGAAGTCATTTCTAGATATTTAAAATAGAAGACACCATCATCTTTGGAACATTATTAAATATATTAAAGCAGTCATGTTTAGCATTTTTTGTGTATCCCTTTCATGCATTGACTGTTTAAAGTTGACAATTTATAGGCATCTCCTGGTGTCCAGTGTCCATGCTGACGATGGCTACTTTCATTTCCTGCTGGCTCCACAGGGCTTGTCTCTTTAGGTTTATTCTGAGGCGTATAGATGGTATAAGTAATATAATTATATTGTTCACTGCAACAAATGTGCACATTTTTATTTCAACTAATTTATGAGGATACGATTGAGAATCAGTTGATGACCCAAATACGTCAACAATGCCTACCTTCAAGGCTCATGATGAACATAAATGGCACTCCAGTTTGTTGTAAAATTGCAGTTTGTTCATAAGAAATTATGGATGAATGTTTTCAGGTGAGTGTACGTCAAACTAGTCACTGCTCTAGAAATTAAAAGGAATATTACGTCTATAGCCAGAAGAAACAGAGTTGTACTACTTGACCTACTTAGTCAACAGTTTTCCCGTTTCTTTGCTTTCTCTTGTCATACACTTGAAAAGTGCTATTGTTGGTTGGTCGGAAAGAAGCCAAGAAAGCAGCAGATTGTTTAGCCGGAGTGAAATGTCAAGTAGCAAAGGCGTATATAGTGCAAGGATCACACACAGTGTGGTACATTGGTCCTCAATATTTCCTAAAGTGCACTCTCAATAATCCCATGACCCACATCAGTTACCATGAGTTGATAGCCCTGATGAAGATGACTCTGCGACTCTGAGACTGAAGAGTGCAAAATGAAAGAGAAAAAAAGAAGAGATTTTTCATCTAAGGACCTGCATGTGTTTGTCAACTCAGGCATAGATCTGGCAAGTCATTTTCACAAAACACTCGGCTTACTTTAGACATCTAATTCTTCCATCATGCTGAAGCTTGATAACATGCTTTTGCTGCTCAGGGATATTGAAAAAATGTTATGCTTCAAAGCCCTTTACTAAAATGTGTCAGTACAACCAGGTCATTTTATAGTTTCCTTCTCCTGCTCCCTGACAAACAAAGACTCAGTTACTTGAAGGAGTCTGTGACCTAAAAGGGATGAATTGCAGTAATGCTTGCTCTAAACAGAAAGGCAGCAGTTCTTTTCCAGCTGGATATGCAGCATAGTGATTGTAAGTGGAGTTCTTAATTATCAATTCTTAATGTGTCTGAATACGGAGAAGGCAAGACCCACTTTTGATGAATGTGCTTTTAACACATATGTGCCAGCATTTATGAGTGCAGTTTGGAAATTCTCTCCTGTATTGTAAGATATCTGATCATTTTCTGAGTTTCCCTCAGATTTTGAACACATTTGCGTTTTTATGCAAGAAGGATTAGACGTTTTGTGCACTATAAAAAAAGATGTGACATTTACAATGATAAATATATAATTACTACGCATCAGATTTTCATTTAGAAGATTGTAGCAAAACTATTACTAAACACAATTATCTATCAGCAAGAAATTAGTTACATTTAAGTGTGTCGTGTTAGCTTGAGGTAAAAAAACCTGAAACTTTTTGCATTGGCAATTGGAAAGGAAACAAATCAAAACAAAACAGAATACTTTGTATTTTCTGTTATGGGTTTTTGTTCCTTTACTTTTAACATTTCCTTTTAATAATAATGACATATGCACATGTATTTCTGGAAGAGTACACAATGATGCAAATTTTCCTGTAAATTGTGCATGTTTGTGCATCAGTTCCAAGAACTGTGACTCCCCACTGACTCATCGGCACATCTGAGACACGCAGTTTATAGAGCCATTTCCAAACTCTTTTGGTTGTTCATGCAGACAATGTAATATCTAATCCTGCATAAGACAAAATGACCAATTATCTGCATCTCATTCATAGTACATATCATGAAAACAGGCTCTTATGTCAGCTATTTCTGTTACACACGCATATTGCATTCACAAATCATCTTTCCTCTTCTAAAGTGGTCTGCTGAATAATTATCAGGCTGAAAATCACCAAGAGAAAAGACTTTGTGGCATGCTTTAAAAGAGCTCAATTTAGCTTCTAATTATCCAGTGTGAGTGTACACGTGGTTGCACAGTTGGGCTGTGGATTAAATGGTATCAGACGAGGCAACATGCAAAACACGTGCCACATGCGTGGAGCATAAAGGCAAATTCTCATTGCTCTCAAGGCCAAAAATTTTGTAGTGCAGCTGCCTGGAAAGTTTTTGAAGTGGAGGTGATGTGAAAAGAACATGTAAACACGAGTCATTCTGCTTTTTTTGAATGGCTGGTGAGATTTGAATTGTAATGCACAGTTGTGAAGCTATTTGTTGTTTGTGGCACTTGATTTGTCAGGTCACTAACAGAGATATAGCGGTATCATAAACTTGACATAGTTGTTGATATTCATCATCTATTCGAGAGCCACAGATTGTCATTTCTTACTTACGATGATGGTTTTCTACATTGTTATACTATTTGCACGTTTTCAAAATTCTCACTTTTTCAATACTGATTCGATCTTGTCTGCCCCCTATCAGTGTCTCGTCCCTTTGTGCCCTGAAAAAGTTGGTCTTTTCAGGGGTGTTGTCTCATGCGGACTTTGCTTGAACAGAAAATGGTAATTAAGTGGAGAAATTAGATACTGAAATTTGATAGTGAACATAATGAACTGTCACCAGGGGCATTTGAATTTGAATTTTTGGTATTTTTGCCCAAAAAAATAACAACTCAAAAGTTACTCTCGTGTTGGGCTTTTTAATGTCTTATGTGCTTTTGATGTAATCGATTCAATATGTTCCTCCAGATGCGGACAGACAAGATGCCATCAACTTGTTCCTCCAGGTATACCAGCCCACAGAGTGTAAGCCACACCTGTGGGAGCTGCCCACAGACTTCTATCTGCATCAGAAGAGCACCATGGCCATCCCCTATGACAGACGCAGGTAAGCACTCTTATATCATGTGCGCTTCACACCGATTTCATTCTGCTGAGATTAATACTGAGAGATTCATGCGACTCTTTCAGCTGTGTCGTGTTTTTTGAAGGGTTTGTTTTTTGTGCCCCTCCTTGTGAAATCATCTGAGAACGATTGGCATGTGTGCTGCTGTTTTAAAAAAAATGTTTTTCATTTATTTGTTGTCCAGGCTGCACAGCTTCTGAACATTGTTGACAGAAGTGTGTAGGCTTATTTGATTTTTTTCATTACTTTTGAGGTCAGTCTGAGTGGTTTCAAAAAAGCCTCCTCTTCAGCTTGACAAGGATCACTGAGTTTTGGCCTTGCAGTTGAATTATTAGTTGATACTAACTGGACTGGGCTAATACTGCCATTTCAGCTTTTAAAGGTAACCTTAAAAAAAAATCCAAACCTACCTTGGTATGTGTTTTCAAACATTAAGCAGTAGCAGAATTAGTGGGGTGACCACAGTGCCCCCATTTTTATTAGGTAACTTTTGGCCTTAAACTCATAATTTACATATATATCTTTCCTAAAACATTGCTTAGTTTTAATATTTTATATCTTGTCTTTGTACAAGATTATGTGAAGTTGTGTGGGTGTGATTTGCACAAAGTTAATCTTGTTCACAAGTCCCCCATTTAATTCTTTCTTAACCAGGACTGCATTTTATTTCAGGTGTTGACCTAGAATCACTCCCTGCTTGTCATCCCATCATTTATGTCCATGCAAGTGAATGTGTATTCATGTTTCTTACCTTTGGTTCACTTTAGGCCTACACAAAAGTTGACCCAATTTTCTTTCAAAGGCACCTAGTTTAAACACCCAAAAGCCTTTAACCATTGTTCTCAAAAATGAGCATGGCTGGAACTAAATTCACTTTGGCAACCACACATTGTACCTTTGCTCACAAACGAACATAAGCAGCAAATGACACGCTGAATAAGAGTCTGATGTGTTCAGGTAATGTACAGTAGGTGGTCAAGCAAGCCCATCTTAAAATCTAGGTCATGCAAAGCTACAGAAATTATTCTGGGGAAATCTTTTATGTAAGGGATTAACACATTTGTATTTTCTTTGTATCCAGTTACACACTTTGGTGGTCTGAAGGAGTCCTGTCTTACCTTCCTGTTCCCTTTGATGAAGGTATCTTCACATCATTGCAGAACATTGTGCAAGAAATTACTACTCTAAAAGCTGTTTTTATACCTAAATTCTTGATTGAATCAAACAAGCTTTGTTTTTGGTTGTATTTTTTTTTTTGCGCAGTCGCCTGCGAGGAAACAATGAAAAAGGTCAAAGTGAAGAGAGTGAACCGCTTTGATGAAAGCATTGACATCTACACAGAATTCTTCAAACCGTACGAGCTCACGTCCTTCGATGACACTTTCTGCATTGCCATGACCAACTCTGCAAGGTGCACACACATTGACAGGACACTGGCACAGCATGGCACCTGAACATTTGTGTGGAAGTTGTGATATGAGAATTTACCAAGCAGTGTACCAAAACTACATTAGCTTGTATTATCATGGTACAGGAGACTTATAATCATCGTTATTTGTGGTCACGTAGGGAATTCATGCCAAAGTCGGTGGGAGTGGATCCAAGTCCGTTTACAGTTCGCAAGCCAGAGGAAACGGGGAAATCAGTGCTGGGGTGAGTGCCACTTTAACTATGTATGTTTCCACACTTTGGATGTTAGTGTTGTGGTCTTGTTTTGTTGTTGTTTTTTTTGTTTTGCAATAAAATCCATGTCACCATGCCCCTTAAACATATATAATCAAATGATCATTAGTCATCATGTTTTTAGGTAACCAAAGCAGTGTTCTGTCCTTTTTTCCTGTTTTTGTCAGGAGAACACACTGATGAGTTGTTTTTGTATCCACGTATTTTTAAAAATAAAATCTAATGCTTGATGTCCATTAGGGAAAAACAATAATCTAAAGCTCATATTCAATCCGCTAGCTTCATGTCATCGTGGCTTTAGTCTCCACATTATTGCAGCACAGCATGACCCATGGTGCCTTGCACATAACCCCCTCTCATGTTCTCTGCTGAGTCACTGATTTACCTTAAAGTTACCTGTGGCAGGCTGAAAGTCCATTCTGAGTAGCTAGAGTCGTATGAAATGGTTCGGAAATGTAATTACAGTCCCCAATATTGTCTTAAATTTGATCTCCTCAATTTAATCAACTCATCCTTTTTAAGTCTACTCCTGAAAAAGATTTATTCTTCTGTTATCTTTGTTTACTGTTTAAGGATTTTAACAATAAAACACACAGTTTTTGCTTCATGAAAGGTCACCACAGTTTTTTTTTTTACTTACAGAAATGCTGAGCAACATCGTATATAGTTGTGGTGGAAATTGTTCATGGTTCATCCTTGATGCAGTCGACATTATATTTGGCATACGCAGTCATCCTTTATTTTCACTTTAAAAAGAAAAAGGATATCTCTGTCTACTTTCTGGCAAGTTAAATGCTACGATTCATATTGTATACATATCGTATTTCCATGATGCTGTGAATTCGACCTGTCTTGATGTTGAAGTGAAATGCTGGTCAATCTCTTAGGCCACCTTCGCTTTTTCCTTCTTGTGTAACTTTATTATTGTTGGTGCTCCTCAGCCTCATGTCTTTCAGCCTGTGCTACTCAGATGCAGCTGTAGGATGGAAGCATTTAAAAATAAATAACTTGTTTCGCTGACTGCATTATATCATGTTTCTGTAGCTGAAAAATATTATTCACATAGTATGCGTCATTTTCTCATTTTAAATGCTGATTTGTGTTTGTTTTGTTCTGATATTCACAGCAGCAAGAGCAACAAGGAGGAGACAGTCCTCCAGAGGAAGACAGCAGCCAGTGCACCTCCGCCTCCAACTGAGGAGGCCATCTCCAGCACCTCAGAGGACGACTCTGAGGAGGACAGGGACGATGAGGGGTCCGTGTCTCAGCGCTCCACCCCGATCAAGCTGTTGACTGATTCGGGCGAGAGCACTCGCACATACGAGGTATGTCACCACTCAACAACGTGCAATGTATATATATATATACTGTATATCAGTTAAACTTTCAAATTTGTTATCTGCTAAGATCGGGTTCAAACACCTCGGTCTAGAACGGAAAATATAATTAGAAAAAAATACATTACTACACAGCCTTTAATGTCAATTTTACAATATGATGGGAAGATTACCCAGCTTGCAAATTAGTTCTTCTAATAATTGAAAAGTAAGTATTGTCTTGTTAAGACCTTAGGGAAATGTCATCACCGTTAAAGCTGGTTTCATATCTGTTTGGATTTAGCCTCCAAGCTCCAGTTAGTCACTCTTATTATATTTCCTCCAGCTCACCTCCTGTAAGTGTCTCACAAGAAATGAGTTCTCTGGTTCTGTTTGCGTCAGAGAGAAGTCGAGTTATAAGTTTAATCAGAAGATTCAACAACAACAGATCCACAAAATAGTGCAGATTTGTGTTTATATTGGATTCAGGCAGCACAATCCAAATTATGCTGTAATAATGTGATTATGATCAAATTACCTCTAATTATTTTTGTACACTGTTCATCTGTTACTCGTCATTGTTTACTTTAAGTTTTTGATTACAATCTCAATGGTTCTCAATGTCTTTTTGATGTTATGCCTGCAATACCTCTGTTCAGTCATACTGGACCATTATGCTATGATACCAGTTCTTTAATATTGTGTTGACACAGCTCAAAAATAAGCTGGACATATTTCCTGGTGTGAGTCATGTGAGCCTCTAAAGTAATGGCATAGTTATGTTGTAATCATATTATGTCAACCATCATAATATATGCAGAAATGATCAGATACCTTACTGGCTAGCAAGTGAAAAAAGGCTCACGTGGTCAGTGATATGAATTCACTGTTTCCGAAAATAGGAAAATCCACTCAAAAGTTTTGATAGGAAATGTGCAATGCAACATTAGATGATAACATTTCATTAAAAGTACACTCCTGGATGATTGGAATTAAAAAATCTAAAGTATGTTTGCTTGCATGTCTCAAAGCCTGCTAAGAACAAACCATCTACATTTTTTAAATTAAATTTCATAGTCACATCACAATGTTCTGCAAAATGTTTCCCAGACCATTTTTCAGGTTTAGATGGAGAGATGTAGAGCACATTTCACATCTGTTCTCAGAACCTATGTTGCTCTGGCTTACGTACTGAAGATTTGTGTGAAACACCCACATTTTAGCAGCAGTTTTATACACAAATGTTAGTATCCAGCATGCAAGTGTTTTTTTCTTCTTTTTTACCCCGTTTATCTAAAGCCCAAACAGCTGTATATTTTATGTATTCCTCAGGAGCTACATTTCCAAAAATGTGACAGTATAATTTGTACAGAAATGTGTTTATGCAAACTAGTTTGGCTTATTTTCCCTCTGAGGCAATGTGTCAAAGTTTGGTGCACAGTATGTGGAGCATGTGCTGGGGATTTGGTCTGCTTTTAGAAAATCCGATGATATGTGGTGTCCTGCAGATGTCTGGCCTGCCTTCATTTCTTGATGGATCATTTAACCTCCATGCTGATCGATTCTTAAAAACCTAGATACTATTTTTCTCTCTAAAGAATGATGAAAAAATTGGAAGATAAAGAGGAAGCAATTATTGCTGTCTGGCATTACAGATGTTGTCTATACCACTTCTCTGAATGGCTGTTTCCACAGTGTGTCTATCTATATCAGTATCTGTTTCACGCCCCAGGTGGACTGGTAGCAAGTTTACATCCCCCGTTGACCCAGATTTCGTATAACAGCAGGAACACTGAGCACATTAATCAGTACAGGTAGAGAGAGGGTCAGTGTGTCAACAGCATGGATCACATGCATGGAGAACAGCCAGATCCCTAAATATCTCTGCTTGTAAGAAATATTTTCATCATGCATAAGCAGTTCCCGATGATGCAAAAGGTGTTTATTGCAGCAGCCATACTGTTGCTACAGTTACAAGCATCATGATGAGCTCTGACATGAGACTGTCTCTGCTTGCACTTTATGTAAAAAGTAACAGTGAGATCCTTGAAAAACTGTATCAGATCCCTCCACAGCTCCACGAATGAGTCCTGCTAGGCCCAAAAATATTTTATGGGCATTATCAAGGAGGTGCAGTCCCCCTATATACCATGATGTTTTACATTTGATTGTTTGTTTAAATATCCTTGAGAAGACACATGAGAATGTCTGCAGTATGAAAGTGGCTGCTCTGACAAGCTGATTTTCCCCCTCCTCCCTTCTGATTGGATGCATTGTCCCACAGTTCTCTGTCTTGTCGCGGCCTTCAGCAGTGGCCCTGGAGAGAAATATATGCATTTCAGACTGGACATCTAGCTCACGTGTTGGGCACACACATCTGGCTCCACTGCCTGCGGGCCAGTCCCTGACAAATGGACTGGCTGCCAGAACAACACACAACTGCTTAAATATTTAAACATTAGATCATTACTGTGTTTGCCATAAAATTACACATGCTCCTTTAGTATCCCACCTCTGTATGGGCGCACCGGGGCTCGCATGGATCAGCTGCATACGTGGTTGGACAAGCAAATGCTGGTTTGCACACTGTATATGAAAGATTTTTTTTTCTGGTGTGTTCCCGTTAATCTTTGTATGGGGGGGCTGTGTGTTTTTGTGATCATGTTTACATGCTTGTGTGTTCACAGCTGCCGCTTCTTGGACAAAAGTCCCAAAGCAGCCTGATTCATTCCAGCTTCCCTGCAGCTCGGATCAATACAGATACAGGAAAATTTGAAAGCACCTTGCTGAGCATATGGCAGCAGTGTCAGAAAAAAAACAAAAAAAACAAGCACATACTGCTGTTACATAACAAGCTTATTGCTGCTGGTCTGAGTTTATTTAAGGACAGGAAAATTCACATCCTCAATTCATGCATCCAAGAGACCCCAACCTTTCAAATAACTCTGAGAATGACTCAAATCTCCCTGTTAAATCCCTCAGATGAATAGAGAGTTTAATTTTCTGCTTCAAAAAAGGTGATGCTTGAAGGAAAGGCCACTTTTGATCAAGTCTTTTGATTAATTTATTATTTGATTTATTTCATTTCTTGGAATCAATCCGTGCTTGTGTTCTAGTTTTAGTTCATCGTCACATTGACAACTTTATGCCCTTTTTCCCCTCTCATCTCTCTGGTTTAACCGCTGTGCCCTTTCTAATTTGATCTCTTTTTTTATTATGAAAAATACATTTCCACAAACTGTGAACGCTACATGTTAAAACCCCAGGTACCCACTGGTCCTGAATGTGAGGGGACATTAAAACACCTCATCAGACACCTATAATCAAATTACTGTCGAAGTTGCCTAGATTTCACTCTTTAAACTGCCCTAATTAGTGAATCAGTTGTGGAGAGGCAGCTGAACCTGGTGACCTAATCTTTGAGAGATGAACCTCTTTGAGGGTTATCTCTTTATACCATTATTTTAAGAGGAACACTTAAACTTAAGACAACTACTTTCCTCCCTCTGCAGGAGATGTCATCACATCAAACAGTTAAGGAGCCTTACGGACTTAATCTGGCTGCATTTCCTGCTCAGGACGACCTGCTCGTTTACGAAAGGTAACCAACACGACACCAGCACGTCCTTGTTAGCCTCATCTGACCTGAGGCTCCCCTTCATGGCACAGATTGTGACAAACACTTAAGACAAAGATGTAGAACAAGCCACTGTCCTTTCTTTGCCAGCACCTTCAGTGTCCTCGGTTGTGTTTAATATAAACTGCTCTGATGGTAGGCACAGAGGTGATTTAAGAAGGCGAATTAACTTCCAAATTGTTGTGTAGAATGCCGTTCATATCCTCCAACTGCAGGGGGAACATAATAAGATTGAAATTACATTCATTACAGAGGCTGGAAGTTGCAACGGCTCCAAAATGTTAGTTATAGCCAGAGCTCTGATGATCAGTGTCATTAATATAAAAAATCATAAGCAAGAGCCAGGGGAGCTCTCAGTTGATGCAAATTATTGTGTCTTTGTGAGTGAAATATGACCCACGGGGACAAATTTGATATTTAACAATGATGAGATCTGAACATTAAAGATCTCAGCAGACATGTTTTGCAAAGACGCAGATATGAACCTGAAGTCTAATGCATTCTCTGGGCTCTTAATGACACAGTTTCCTGTTGGCGCTTTTCAGAGGCTGTTTTTAATTTTTCTGCAGGTTTGCTCGTCTCGGGGAGAGCCAGCACACAGTGGAGAGAACCGAATGCATCAACTTGGCAAACATAATTTGTTTGTGAGTAAAATAAATTACACAAATAGTGACGCGAAACAAAGGTTGATCCCCAAAACTCATGCTCTTTTCTCACATCTAATATTAAGAGTTATCATGTTTTTTCTTTGTTGTGTGACCTTTCAGAATACCACTTAACATATTTTTTACATAACCTTCAGACCAAAATGGCTGAAAGTGGTTCCATGTGAGCCCTTCAACTGTGTAATTGTCAAATCACATGATTAACAGCACAATCTTCCTTTCTTTTTTTCTATTTATGCTCTTTCCCACCTACGCCGGCCTTCATCTTCCTGCACAATGCAGGAAGAAACCCAGCTGGATATATGGAGTTGGGTTCCTTTTTTACTCTCTCAAACAGAATCAAAGTTGAGAACTACACATGTTCTGGCTGAGAAACAAAGTCTTTCTACACATTCATCGGCATAGGGGGCTCTAAAAAAAGCCTTGTATTATACATTCTTCTGATTATTTTGCCATCATGCCCTGTTCAATTCAAATATCAAGATTTCTTCCTAGAAAAGCAGAAGTGAGCTTTCAGGACCTACTGTATTCTAAAACATATTTTTTGTCCATCCATGATTGTAACATCATGATTGCTCAAGAAATTATTTATTGAAGTGGTCAGGTCGATTTCACTGTTGCCTGTTTATCAGCCTTGTCATTTATTACAATTTGTTGCGCTATGTGCATCTGAGGAGATGGAGGTCACTACCAGTTTGGACAAAAATCAGAGCTCATTTTTCTGCATAATACAAACGCTTTTCAGAGTTTATTCAAGTACCAATGGGATGGTGCTCAGTAGCGTCAACAACAAAAGTGTTAAACTAATGGGGTCAAACCTGTCCTTTACAGAAGGAACCTAGGAACTTTTACCAGCATAAAATGTTAAGTAATTAAAAATCCTGTGGGCTGCTGCACCAACTGTTTCCACTCTGATCAATATGCCTAGTCGGGGATTTCTTTGCAAAGTGACTGGCATCTGTGCTTTTTTTCAGTTGCTTTTGCAGATAATTTTGGAGGCCAAATGGCAATTTTCTGTTTTTCATTATGTGAGCGAAATGGTTGTAGAAGATAGAAAGTTTTGTTTTTAAAACCAAGCCTTTAAAAGCTTTAGCAATGAAAGGCTGAAACCTCATTCGCCCCAGCAGTGTTCTTGCGTAGGGATTTTATTCTGCTGACTTAAAATGAAGACTTCCGTCATTGCTCATGAACTCGTAGCCAGGTGGTACGTGCAAACCACACATCATACACGAACAGAATATTGTGCTGCTTGTTATAGAATGAAACTGTCCATAACGTGCACAGACAGAATTTCACGTGGCAGCCTCTATCTTTGGAGCATGTTGCTGTGTGAATGCACAGCTTGTCGAGTGCGCCGGTGAAGAGCCGTACTTAGAGTTAGAACGAGCAACCGAAAGAAGACAAAGAGTGGGCCAGCTTTTCTATCTGCCTGTCACGTCTTAAAGAACAAACTTTCTCAAGAGTTGCTTTTCAGTGGAGGATTGTAAGAAAGGCACGTGCATTTAAAATCATTTTTTTCCCCTCGTGTCTCTGTCTGTCTTTCATCACTCTGGGCATTCATTAGCTGACCCATCCACAGTGTCGGGTCCACAGGTGTGTCAGTGGTTGTGCAACAGTGCTATTCTCAGTTGTTTCAAACATGTGTTCACAGTCAGGGGCGCTTTTGTCTGTCACCTCCCTCTGTGCAGTTCCTTTATTGATCCATCAGGAATAAGCTAAGCTGACTTGATAGCTGGAGATTAGAGCAGAAAGGAAACAAATACTGTGGCCGTTTCCCAGTGAAAAGTATTACTGAGGTGTGGGATGTAAATCTTCCCTCAGTCAAACTGAGCACCTTATGACTTATGTGTGTAACTGGGAACCTTTTAATTTTTACTTCTTGTATTCTCTCTGGTCTTCAAACCCTATTTGAAATAAATAGGGGACTAGGGGACTTGTAAATTGACATAGAATTTATAAATCTCAGGCAAATATGTAATTCTGTACTGAAACAAAGCAAATATAAAATGTTGAAAGGGAGACTTTTTTTCCCATAAATGAGATGAGCTCATCTCGAATGTGGTGGCAGCAGCACATAGAAAGTGAGTGTTGGCACAGGAAGCAAAAGAAAAAAAATATATACAGTATATATATTTGAGCTTCCTGAATTTCTATGAATTCAGAATAACAATATGGAAAAGTCATCCAAGAATGCTTGCATATTCTACGGACCAGGACTTATTTCAAATTAAACAAAGTAACAGGAAAAATGTTTTGTGGTCAGAAAAATCTAAATTTGACATGCTTTTGGAAATGATGGCTGTCACATCCTTCAGACCAGAGTGGAGGGGGAACATCCAGCTTGTCGTGAATGGACAATTCAAAAGCGTGCATCATCAAATTTTCAAATATTTAAGTTTCACCTTAATTTGCTTCCTTCCTTCTAAAGTAAAATGTTGGTTTATCAGATTTCTGTATGTTTTAAACAGCAGCTTCCTGACCTCAGATAAAACATTTGCTGCTATTTAAATAAAAAAAGAGCCAACATCTCTTTGTACTCTCCTTTTTTCATACTCCAGTTTACTTGCTTTGCAGTGTAGTTCAAATCCTTTTTATTTCTTTTATTTCTTTATCTCAAGGCTTCTGCAATCAGCGAAGCTTTAAGCAGACCATTTTCAAGGAGCCATGTGTCTGAGCAGCTTTTAATGGGGACCCAGCTGCTAGAGAACTGGCTGAGTGGATTACCTGATAAGCACGCTATTGTTAATCCATTCCGAAGATGAGGACACATGCTTTACAGTTTAGTTTCTGGGAAAACAGGAGTAATTCTGCTGTATACACACCAACTTGTGCCATCCTCTTGTTTCCATTAACTATTCTCTTAATGACTCAGATTCGTTGGTCGGATGAACTTTTTTTTTTCTTGGTATTTGGATGTGGAGCTGCAAACCAGAAAGGAAAAAAAAATCTTTTACAATGAAAGAGCCTGTTGTTCGGGGGAGGGATGACATGGGTTTTACCCCTCTCACCATTTGTATTTTTGTTCCTCTCAGAGATCCGGTTTCCCGCTTTCCAGAGGACAGCATCTACAGCATTTCTCCTCCACAGGTGGACAGAGACAGTCGCAACGTGTTCGAGAGCCATGTGCTGACGGGGCAGGGCCAGGTGAGGGCGCTGTGCAGAGAGGACATGCTGATGTATAGGGAGTACATCAAAAACAGATACATGTGACACGTGGCAAATGCCTAGAAGGTCAGCGGCAGTAGCATTCCAACTATAGAACGATGGAAGATGTGTCATCCTTTTGATTGAAAGGAGGACTAGAAAAAAATTCCTGGTGTTTTTTTTCAATGAACAAGATAATGTAGTGTAAAACATCCACATGCGCCTGTATCTGGACTGAATAAAGACAAAAATAACAAAAAGATTTTTGTTTTAAATTGATATCATGTTCTGATTAACTGTCAACTAAACATCAGTCTTTTAAAAGTCTAGCAGCCTTTTCGCTGATTTCATTGTTTTTACAAAAAACATTTCGCACTGTGTCAGATAATTAGGCAGCAGCTATTTGAATCATATAGTTTGAATCTTAAACGTTGGAACCATATTCTGTGCTCTGGACCAGCTCCATCATGTGTCATTTGACTCTGGAGGGCTTGAAGAAAGGACTTTTATCACAAAGAGTACTTTACAGACTTGTTTTCTTCTTTCATACCATCTTTTGTTGAATTATATGAAAGTCTGTTGTGCCTTTAATTATTATTTGTTTTATTGTAATGTTTAATTGCATTTTTATATTTGTTATTGTGTTTTTCTTTGTTTTCAAGGACAGCCCTAATTTGATTTACCAACTTTTTATTTTTATAACAGAAGAGTTACAACAGTTGTCAAAGTTACACTCTGATTTTAGTTTGTATAAATGGAATGATGAGATATCAATATTAAATTAAACATCCATTTGTTGACACTTTTATCTTTACGGTAGCATTTCTTTACATTTAATTGTATCTCTATTGTTCATCACTCTGCACATATAAAACAACTATTGTTCCTCTCCTTCAGCCCCTGTAATTTTACAGCCCCCCCCCCGCCTTCCATTAACCCACACACTCTACTGTGCATTCCTCTTTCTTGTGTTCCTTTTTCTCAGAATCAAGCTCTCTTTTTGCCTCACACTTTCCCTTTTCACTCTGCACTCACACTTTTCATACTCTGGCTGTTAACAACAGGTGTCAGAAAATGTGAAATGTGATGAAGACCACCTCCACTGCAGCACACGTACACAATGGGTCGGCATTCTGACTGAACATCATTGGTCTCTTCATTTGTGCCGCGTGACTTTGAGGATGGAGGAAAAGGGGAGGGGGTAGCATGTGATGTGATTAAAACGCCACTGGAATTGAATAGAAAATGACTTTTTGAAGAATATATTCTAAAGGCAAATTAACCTTAGACATGAAGATGACTGGAGGAAATGTCATCAGTGTTTTTTCTTAGACCCTCTAGCACTCCCTGGATAGATGGAATTATTTAAGATTGCAGTGCTAACTAGATTCAAGCAAGGTCGGATAAAGTGATGAGATAATGTTTCAGCTTATTCAGAAAGCCTCCAGGTTGAAGGCTATTACCCTTTTTACCAGTGGTGATGTACGAATGATGTAGAAGCAGTCCTAAATTTCCTGATTTTTCTTTGCTAAAATGGCAAAAGTGTTTGAAATGCGACACGTGTGAAGCTATTCGTTGATTATAGAAATAAAAAGACTGTTTTTTCATTTTTGAATGTAGCAAATGTCCATCCATCCATCCATTTTCGTAACCGCTTATTTCCTAATGGGGTCGTGGGGGAACTGGAGCCTAATCCGGAAGTCAATGGTTGAGAGGAGGGGTACACCCTGGACGGTCCACCAGTCATTCGCACGGGCCACACAGAGACACACAAGGACGAACAACCACGCACACTCACACTCACTCCTGAGGGCAACATGCAGGTTTTTGGACAGTGGGAGGAAACCGGATTTTCCTGGAGAGAACCCACGCAGAAACAGGGAGAACATGCAAACGGATAATTAAACACTATTAATTATCCGAAAATCGAGGTCATGGTGACATCTGCAGTGGAGATGAAATGAAACAGTGGGTCACATCAATTTATCGGATTTTGTGACTGCTTGTCCAATGGACCTACGTATTTTGTGCGAGTGGCATTGTGCTCCTAAACTGTCCCAGCGTGAATCCTGCTGCTCTTCGTGGAGCATGTAGGTCAAATTTGGGAGTGAATTGTTATGTCCCTGCAGTGTCTTCACTGGGCTGTCACCGTCAACTTTACTCCCTAACTCCACCTCCACCCCTACACCTTTGTAGGCTATGACTTGTCTTCTGTCATTTTTACACCAAGCTTGATGAACCAAAACCATTTACAGCTCAAGTTCACATCCCTACAGTTTTTCTCATTCCGTTATCTTTTCTTCCAGCCCTTTGTTAATGACCTTATCTCGGCCCATTAGACATGACCATACAGTCTTTAAGGTAAATACCACTGTAAGGGTGCCCTTAGATTGACCAGTGGGTCACTGTACCGGCCGTGTGTTTGTGTGTGAACACATTAACAGGTGTGCGCTCCTCAGCCACTCTGCTGTTTGTGTCCGTGCACTGTCAACAGTTGCAGTTCGTTTCCCAAAATAGGGGGCTGTTTTGTGGGAGAGGAGGCTTTTTATGCAAAGTCGTGTTTTTTCCTCATGTTGTTGTGTCTCAAATGGTCGGTGTCTCATTACACCGAAACCTCTCAGCACACAACGCTGTTGCTGAATAAATGCACGTAGCCACTGATATTTTTAAGCATTTAATTTCAGGTGGTCCTGACAGAAATAGCACAGCATGGGTGCTCAGTCTTTCACTCCAGCAGTACAATGCCTCTCTTTGGTCTCATTTCAGCTCATTTTGTTTAGCTATGGAAGATGATCTGAAATAAGTTTTATTTGGTATTTTTTGGTCCTGTGTGTTTGTGTTCGAGTGCATGCCTGGATCTTTGATACAAGTCACTCGGCAATTCATGTGACTGTGCAGCTTATGAATAAAGACAGCCCCCTCCACAGCTCTGAGCCCACTGACAAAGGATGACCAAACAGCTGTTGCCTGGAAACCAAAACTGGTTACCATATTGCTCTGCAGCTTCAAATCTCCAAACATCTCGTCTATTGTCAGCAAACAATCAGTTGAAGTGTAGCAAATCCTAGACTTCTGGTAAATATTCCACTCTATTAAAACCAAAAACATAGACTGATGTCTAACGGCTCAATCTTTTAAAAGATACGGGAAGGAAAGATACAGTTAGAGCAACTCAGGAGAATAAGGATGGTACTACAAACTTCCACACTATTCTTTGACATTTACATGATGTACTGAATCACGTGAGTCTGAACTTTTAAAATGAGAAATGGGTGTACGGAGCACACCATGCTCTCAGAGACTGATCTGTTCCAGCAGAACTTACATGCACCGCACTGTCATGAACAAGATGCTGTCCTAGAATAGTAAATCTGACATGCCTGAAATGAGAAACATGATTTTTCTAATGCTGTGTTATCAGCAGTAGTTAGACTGGACCTTCAGAGAGTTATCCCTGCCACTTGTCTCTTTGCCCCTCTGCTACACCCACACAGAGGTTTCTCCACTTGTTTGCACTTGTTATAAGGACAGCAGTGCGTGGGGACTTATAAAATAAAAAAAACAATATAACTTAGATATTTTCTGGGAAATATATGATGATTTCAAAATGTATGTGTGTGAAGTTATGTAGTATGAGAAACATGGGGAAAAAAGTGGAACATTGTTTGTTTCATCCACCTTGTTATCAGAGCACAATTCAAAACACAGCATCACCGTGGGTCAGCGGTCATCATCAATGGTCTATACACTGGTTTTAGGACGAGACATTCTACCACCAACATTTCTATTGAGATACAAGAACATGCTACACCACATGCTGAATGTGTCAGAACAGCATGGATCTGAAGTTAGAGCCCAGAGCATCATTTTTACTGTGAGTGGCACTCAAAATCTCAGTGGGAACCATTTCATTTGAAAATAAGCTTTCCTAAAATGTTTGCTGCTAAAATCTTGAATGCAATTGATTTTCTAGCATACTTGATTAATGAACCGCGTTGTTGAGGATTATAGTCTAGCTAATCTATATCGGTGTTTGATGGTCCAGTCGTTTGAAGGTTCTGAAGAAGTTTTCCACAGAATGCTCACACAGAGGTAAAAGGCTGGGGTTGACACATGTGAACCCAACCCGAAAACAAACAATATAAACTCAAATGAAAAATATTAAATAAATGAAAATATAAAACATGTAAACTGTGGAACATTACAGATCTTTTACACTTGGTGGTGGAACCTGAATTTATTATCGTTGTTTTTATGTAATATACGGGGTCCATTTGGTCACTTTTCTATTTCCTGTCATTTCATTGAAGGAACATGATCTGGATCCTTATTGGTAAATATGGCTCCCTCAAATAAGCACCACCAAACCCCTTTAACACTCTAGCAAAAGTTGTTCACTTCTAGTCCCTCAGGCTCTTCATGAGAGTTGAGGGAAAGAGAGGCAGCATGAAGGGAACCTCAGAGAATGCGCTCTTTCGGGTTGCTTTTTGCAGGATTGATGGGAGGAGGAGGAAGGACAGTCTGCCGTGACGTCGCCAGGGTTTAAATCTCTCCTCGCTTGTCTCTGGTCGATCCCCTCAAGTCGTGCTCTCCCTTCCACTCCTCCTCACATTCACCTTTTCTCACCGAGCTGAACACCAGCCAATGCTCCCCGCCACTCCTGCCCTGGGTGTGCGTCCCATGCCTGGGAAGCACAACAAAATCAAGGGCTTCACTTGAGAAGCACTGAAGAAGCGAGGCGAGGAGGGAAACCACCGCATTATCTCGTTTTGCAGACATTCGTTTTTGTTTTTGTTTGACTTTTTACGGATCTGCGAAAGGCGCAGATTTAAACAAAAATAAAAACTCATCTCCATCCGTTTGTCACGGAGGTACGTATTCCGAGTCGATTCATTGTTCAGAAAGGTTATGAAAAGTAAACGATTGTGCCGGTAACCTATAAGTTATTTTTTACATTACTTTCGGTATAAAATGGCAAAGTGGAAATGCTGAGTTTGATGTGTCCCGTTGGATGTCTATTTGAGCCTTTTTATTTGAAGTGAACAATCAAGCAAAGTCCGACTTGTTTAGTGGATAGATGAATAAAAAATGTCTTTATCAAAAAGTGGTTTATTGCCAGCGACACAGAGATATTTTTCTTCAATTAATCAAAATAGTTTTTCGGCTGCATCCATTGTGGGGAAGGCTTTGTTATAGTTTCATTCATTACTTGCCATGTTTTGTGGTTCAGCACCACGGACAGCTCCGACAACTTTAAGATGACGATTCCCCCCCCCCCAAAGCGTTTTATTGCCTTGTAGTGATTTCCCCCTTTTAAAGTAAAGAAAATATCCTATATTTCATTCTCATGCTGAGTTGTCACATCTTTGGTGATGTTTTTGCAGATATAAAGTGTCTGTTCAAGTTTTGCATGACTATCTTTGGTGAGATTGTGTACCAGCCAAGTAATAGAATGGTTAAAACGATCCTGCACCTTTTCAGCAGTTCATTTTGAACTGCTGAAATATGGTTCCATGTCCTTATTTTGAGTATCTTCCATTTGTTACCGCATTTACACCGAATGTTGCAGATTAGTCAAATCCAGCCCCTGCTGTAGTAATGCATCAATGTGTTATCTCCTCAAAAAGACATTAATTAGAGGAATACTTTCAAATAGCACTTTAAAAAATCTGCATATTACATTACTTGCTCCTCTTCTGCCCACAGGAGTGAGACACAACAGTGCGGCGCAATGAACGAGTCCCTGGTGGCAAACGACTCCTCTGTGAATGGACAAGCTTTTCCTTGGACG